CCTAAGTGAAATAAATAAGTCACACATGTGTAAATGCTGAATAGTTTCTCTGGTGTAAAAAGCTATAATAGTATGTAAGATCCTAATGAGATAATTGATTATGTGAAATAGGAAGTAAAGGGCTAAAGGTGTAGGGAAAGTGGGAAGAATAGGGGAAAGGTAATAAGGGAAAAGAAAAAAATATATGAGAAAATGAAAAAATGGAAATAAAGTGTTTGTAAATGGGGAGGGGAGGAGGGCATGAAGGGAGGTCAGGGACAAGGGGTAAAAATGAGAACCAAGACCTGTCATGCAAAGGTACAAATCCCATTAATGAATGTAACTGTACTGTATACCTAAAATGTACCAATAAACTCAATTTAAAAAAAGAAAAAAGAACAAAGGAGGGGGGAGTAGAACACCTGAATACACATATGAGAGATCTCATATTAACATGCTAATTCAGATTGTCACTAAGTAGGTCTAATGTAATTGGGAAATTTTGCTTTACTAAAATTGCTTTGATGTTAATGATGAATTTGCATTCAGGACAAATTTTGTATAAATAGAAACTAATGCTACATTCACATTTAGTTAGTTTTGGTTTTTGTTTGTCAAAGTTGTGTTTTAATGAAAGCAGTTCTACGTAGAAAACTCATAGCAGTGAATTCCCACAATAGGAAAACACAGCAAGCTCAAGTAAACAACCTAGTGATGAATCTTAGACTCCTAGAAAAAGAAGGGCAAGAAAAACCCAAAGCTCAAAAAAGAGAGGAAATTATAAAGATTAGAGCAGAAATCAATGCAATGGAAACTAAGAAAATTATACAAAAAAAAATCAATGAATCAAAGAGTTGGTTTTTTGAAAGAATAAATAAAATCTATAAACTTGTAACTAACCTTGTAAAAAAAAGAATGAAAGAAAAGGCTCAGATCCATGCAATTAGGAAAGAAAAAGGTGAAGTCACAACAGTTCCAGCAGAAATCCAGAGGATTGTCAATACCTACTTTGAGAACCTGTACTCTAATAAAATGGAAAACACCAGAGAAATGGACTGATTTCGAGATACTTATGAATTACCAAAGTTGAATGAAGAAGATAAAAAATTCTAAACACTGCAATTACAATCAGTGAAAATGAAAACATAATTAAAGGATACCAATGAAGAAAAGAGCAGGTTCTGATGGGTTCACTGCTGAATTTTACAAGACATTTAGAGAAGAACTCCTGCCACTACTCTTTAAACTTTTCAATGAAATTAGAAGCAATACTTCCAAATTCATTCCTAGAGGAAAAAATTACTTTGATTCCCAAACCAGGGAAAGACCAAGAAAGAGAAAAACAGGCCAATATCCCTAATGAACATAAATGCAAAAATCCTCAATAAGATACTGACAAACAGAATAAAGAGGGTCATCAAGAAGATCATACACCCTGACCAAGTCAAATTTATTCCAGGGATGCAAGGATGGTTCAACATGCATAAATCAATAAATGTAACACACTATATTAACAGAGTCAAGAACAAAAACCATATGTTCCTCTCAGTAGTCACAGCAAAAGCATTTGACAAAATTTAACACTGAGTCATGATAAAAACCCTGCAAAAAATTGGAATAGCTCGTCTATATCTAATCTTAATAAAGACTATGAAAAACCAACAGCTAACATCATATTAAATGGCTAAAATCTGAAAACCTTCACTTTAAAATCAGGAACAAGACATGGATTTCCACTATCACCACTCCCGTTCAATATAGTTTTGGAAACATCAGCCACAACAATTAGATAAGAGAAAGAAATTAAAGCAATAAAGATAGGAAAGGAAGAAGTTAAACTGTCATTATTTGCTGATGATATGATACTCTGCATTGAAGACCCAAAAAACTGCACCAAAAGACTTCTAGACTTAATTGACACTTTCAGCAGAGTAGCTGGTTATATGGTCAAGAGTCAAAAATCATTAGTCTTCTTGTACACAAATAATAGACTCACTGAGAGAGAAATTAGAGAATAATTCCTTTCAATATAGCATACAAAAAATGAAGTATCTAGAAATCAATCTAATAAAAGAAGCAAAAGACCTCTACACTGAAAACAACAGCACTCTGAAAAAAGAAATAGAACAGGATAGAAGAAAATGAAAAGATATCTCCTGCTCCAGGGTAGGAAGAATCAACATAGTGAAAATGGCCATACTACCAAAACTGTTCTACAGAATCAATTTAACGCTGGTGGTAATTCCAACGGTATATTTCACAGAACTAGAAAAAAGAATCCAAAAATTCATTTGGAACCAGAAGACACCTAGAATAGCAAAAGCCATCCTAGGCAACAGAGACATAGCAGCAGGTATAACAATTCCCAATTTGAAACTGTACTACAAAGCCACTGTGATAAAAACAGCGTTGTACTGGCAAAGAAAATAACCTGAGGATCAGTCAAATAGATTGGAAGATGCAGAAACAACTCCAGATGTACTCAGCTACCTTATCTTTGATGAAGGAGCCAACCATCCTCACTGGATAGCCTCTTTAATAAATGGTGTTGGAAAAACTGGATTTCAACCTGCCAAAGATTAAAACTAGACCCTTATCTCTCACCATGTACTAAACTAAAATCCAAGTGGATTAAAGATCTAAATATTAAAAAAGAGTCACTAAACTTGCTGGAAGGTAAGTTAGGCAGAACTCTTGAAAACATTGGCATAGGAAAAGACTTTATGAACAAATCGTCAGTAGCATGGGAACTAGCACAAAGAATCAACAACTGAAATCTCTTCTTAATAAAAAGCTTCTGCACTGCAAAAGAAACCATCAACAGAACTAAGAAATAACCTACAATATGGGAAAAAATTTTATCAGCTGCTCCTCAGACAAAGGACTATTATCTAGAATAGGTAAAGAACTAAAAAATTCAGGCCCCCCAATATAAAAACCCAGTTCAAAAAAGGGCATCTAAAAAAAACAGACCTTTCTTAGACAAAGAAATAAAAGCATCAAATAAATATATGAAAAAAATGTTCCACAACACTGGTCTTTTGAGAGATGCAGATGAAAACAACACTAAGATTCCACCTCATCCCAGAAAGAGTGGCTGCTATCAAGAAATCAAAAAATAACAAATGCTGGCAGGTTTGTGAGGAGAAAAGAACCTTTTTCCATTGTTGGTGGGGGTGAAGGCTGGTGCAACCACTATGGAAATCAATATGGAGATACCTCAAAGAACTATGACTATAGGTTCCATTTGACCCAGCCATCCCTCTGTTGGGTATCTTTCCAAAAGAATTAAAAGAATCATATCTCAGTGATATATGCGCACCTATGTTTATAGCAGCACAGTTTGTAATAGCTAAAATTGGAAACAGCCCATTTGCCCATCAGTTGGAAACTGGATAAAGAAGATGTGGTTTTTCTATAAAAACCATACTACTCAGCCATAAAGAATGAGAAATTAGAGTCACTCATAGAAAAATGGATGCATATTTAGGATATACTCCTAAGTGAAATAAATAAGTCACACATGTGTAAATACTGAATAGTTTCTCTTGTGTGAAAAACTATAATTGTATATAAGTTCCTGATGGTATAATTGATAATGTGAAATAGGAAGAAAAGGGCTAAAGGTTTAGGGGAAGTGGGAAGGGTAGAGGAAAGAATAAGGGAAAAAAAATATGAGAAATAGAAAAAATGGAAATAAAATTTTTGTAAATAGGGAAGGGAGGAGGGAGTGAAGGGAGGGCAGGGGTTTGGCAAAAAAATGAGAACCAGGATCTGTCATGTAAAGGTAGAAGATCTCAATGATGAATGTAACTGTACTGTATACCTAAAATGTACCAATAAACTCAATGGGAAAAAAAGAGAAAGTTGTGCTTTTGTACAATGATCTTATATATTTCATGAAAACTTTTGACTTTCTTTTGATGCTACAATTTAATAATGCTTTCTTGTTGTGACCTCAGCTTTCTGATTTCACTTCACAGCAGGCATAAAAATCCTCTGGGACTACTACTTCACTGAAAAAATGCTAAGATGGGGAAATACTGGCATCCAGAGAAGTCAGCAGATATGCCATGTTCCTACAGTCACCATCACACCTGAAAGCAGGTTTTCCTGAATTGCTTTTTCCAACTTATTTTTAATGGAAACACTCAAAAAAGGACCTCTGATACTTAGGGTGGAATCAACATTATCTATGCACACCTGTGGGGAGAGATATGAGTGGACCATTACTTGTGGGTTTGTACCGTAGGCTGCTGAGAACAATAGTGCTCTCATTGCTGGATTTTCCAGAAACACCTGAAAACCCCATGGTCAGATGGACCAGGAAATCAGGGGCAGATGCGCTCTGGCTTCTAGGGCAGCATCAGAGGATCTTTCATTTCTAGGATCTGCCTTTTTAACCACTATAAAATCTGGACTTTCAAAAGTCATTGTCTACATTCTAGTTATATTTTCTAAAAACACTTTCTGCTTGAAATTGATATTGCAGGTGTTCTTGGGCTTCTGAAGTAGGATCAGAAAATCGTCCATTTCTAGAACATCCTATTAATGTTGCTGTTGCTGTGTTTTTTGTTTGGTTTGCTTTGTGTTTAAGACCGGGTCTCACTATATAACTAAGCCAGGCCTTGAAGTCCTAATGTAGCCAGAGCCTAGCTCTGGATTTATGACAGTTATTTTGCCCCAGCTGCCCTACTGCTGTAATTACAGGCAAGCACCACAATGCCCAGCTCATTCATGTGCTTTCTGTTTTGCATTTTATGGGGCTCTTTCACTACCATACTTCTGGTCATTGAAAGATATTTAAATTCCCATTCTATGTATTTTATATATCTGCTTCAAATAGCCTACATTTTGCTGTATGAATCTCAGCACTTGCTCTAATCCATACTCCTAAAGTGTGACGATTTGTGTCCGTTATTAAATTAGGAGAGGCACTGCTATATCTGTGTTGCTAGAAGTGGAAAAGAAGAAACAGAGGTAAGAGGTAATGACCCAGCCTGACTCCTTCTCTAAAGCCTTCAAATAGCCTTCAAAGCTGGTTGCAACTGAGAAATGCTCTTATCAGGTGGAGGCACCAGCGGGAGCAGCTGCAGCAACTCAATCACACTTCTGCTTCCCTGAGAGGTTTTTGTCATGGCTTGTACCACTGTGGGAGGGTAATTATTACTCTGATGACAAAAATAAGTGGCAACATCTTCAGGCTGAAGGTTGCTGATGGTGAGAGTGAAATCTGTCCCAGATCCACTGCCACTGAACCTGGAGGGGACCCCAGACTCCAAAGTGGTTGCGTATCTGATTAGGAGTTTAGGAGCTTTCCCTGGGGTCTGCTGATACCAGTGTAAATAATTGCTAATACCCTGGCTGGCTTGGCAAGTGATGGTGACTGTGGCTCCTAAAGATGCAGGCAAGGATGGTGACTGGGTCAACTGGATGTCACATCTGCCACCTGAGAGTGGAAAAATGAAAACAATATTCACATCATTAGTCACACCATAAAAGTACTTCCCAAAGATTCAGGTGGTTATGACTGTACAGTGCTGAATAAATCCCCAGGGCTACCCCTCCTTACCTGGGAGCCAGAGCAGCAGGAGTCCCAGGAGCTGAGCAGGGGTCCTCATGTCCATGCTGTGCCCTGACTTGGACTGACTCTTGCACCCCTGTGAGCAGCCTTTTGAGAAGTCCTCAGGGCAATGGGCTGTGCTCTGGGCACAAGCAAATCAGCAGGGCAGGGCAGGGCTGGGCACAGCTGCGTGGCTGGCTCCTCTAAGTAATTCAGCACAGGCCCAGTGCCCCCAGGTGTCCTGGATTAGACTATACTGGTAGAGATTTGTTTGCAGGATATATTTCTGACTTGTGACTGGAGAACAAAATCAGTCAGGGTTTTTTGTTTTGTTTTGTTTTGTTTTTTAGTACAGTGTTGTTTCACTCTCTCAGATGCCATCACATCTTCTTTTGTTAACTTGCCATATAAGATGGGGTTTGATAGATATAGAGCCTTCCCACAAATTTGTTTTTTAGGTTCGCTGAGGTTGGAAACTGTGGTTAATATTGAGAGCAGAAGTCTTCCCCATGCTGTGATTCTCTCATAATCTTGATGTAGTAAGTTATGGGCACTACTCTCCAAAGATATAATGAGGAAAGAGGAATAATAAACTGTAGTGTCCATATTTTGTAATCATTAGAACCTTCAAGATACACCTCATTGAAAGAAGAGTTGATTAAATGCTGAATCTTGGAAAAGACCACAGGGAGCAAATGTGTACAGAAGCTCAGCCTCACCACACAGCAGGCTGGGAGGAGATTCAAGCTGAAGGCTGTAACAGTGTGCAGGAACTGCACTGTCCTGCTGCCCGCTGCATCACCTGAACTCTGAGTGAGAGGCTGATCCCTCATCTGCCATAGGATTTTGAGGATTCAGATGTCCTTCTTCTTGCTGAGCTGGATGCACAGATAGAAAGAAAGATACTTTTAAAAACTACAGATTGTGGCAGGAATATGGAAAATGCTTCTGCATTTCTGGTGGGAACATACATTACTGAAGACATGAGGGAAAGCAGGATAGAAATTCCTCAAAATGCTAAGAATAGAACCACTATAGCATCCATATATCCTACTCTGGGTATATTCCAGAGGAAATGAAGTCAGCAGGTAGAACAGAGAGCTGTGTACAGTACATATCCTTATTGCAGCATTATTCATAACAGCTATGATATGGAGTCAGCCAAGGTATCCACTAACAGATGAAAGGATAAAGAAATGATGGTATTTATACATAAGAGGATATTATTTATTCATAAAGCAGAATACAATCTGTCATTTGGAGGAAAATATATTGAAAAGGAGGGAATCATGTTAAATGAAATAAGCTAGAAAAGAAAGATGAATATCTCGTCTACTTTCATATTTCAGTAACTTTTTTACTACAGAGCCAAAACACCTGATACCCACAAGTCAAAGGAGAAAAGATTATTTTAGCTCACAGTTTCTAGAGGATTTAGATAACAGTTGGCTGTCTCCAATGCAGGACAGCACGGCTGAAAAGCATGCGGGAGGGGGCAGCTCCTGGAAAGGCAGCAGAGAAGCAGCACAACTTCCTTCTTTTTTTCCCTTTTATTTCATTTTAGCTATAAACCACTGGTTATTTCCACTCCACCCAGGGTGAATCTTCTCTGTTTATTAAAAGCATCACCTATGTGCAGAACCCTGACAAACCCATCAGTGGACTAGTTCAATATCATGCACCCGTGATCCAGTCTCTCCCCAAATTCCCACCTGTGAGAGCATGAGGCTTTGACTGGGGACATCTGGATTTAAGTCATAATATATAGGAGGGAAAAAAACTACACTGTAAGGAATGGAGAGATGTTTAGGGACTAAGAATGGTGGAAAAGAAAGAAAGAGCAGGAGAGAGGGAGGGAGAGAGAGAGAGAGAGGAAAAGTATGGAGAGGACAGAAAATGGGTAAATGGACATGAAGGACTCATGTAGTACACACACGTGAAAATAGTGACTCCCATTAATTGATGAAATACATATGTGTTTATAGTAATTATGATTTGAAAATAGTATCAGTATCCATGTGAACCTTTGGTTAACTGAAAAACTTGCTATTTTGTGTTTGTGTGTACCTCACTGGTCAACCTGGGATGAGCGACTGACTGAAGTGTGTATATTCGATCAGGTTAACAATTTAGATTTGCCTGCTGATCAAAGACATTTTTGATAAAACATTTACTAGGAATTCATAATTTTCAACTTTGGCCTACTTTGAAGGGTCAATCACAGTTTTTCCAATATTTTCTTCTCTCCAGTCCCTCAGATGGGTTTCTGGAAGGGTTTGATAATTCATCACAATCCGTATGCAAAGCCACTGAATTGCTGTTGGCCCTGTGTCCAGGAACCATGAGCCTGGAAATCACTGTGTGATTTCCATTTTTCCAAGACATCCTTGAAGAACATAGTGGTATGATGTCAGCCAAATTGAAATGACCAACAAATGCCAAAATAAAAACTTGTATGTACAACAAGAAATAATGCAGAGGCAGAAAGAATTGCTTGAATTAACCTTAAATAGAGACAGATATAAATGGATGTATATGTGAGTATGTGTAGCTGGTAACACATCAAGTAAAATAGGTGCACCTACATTTTATTAGAAATGTATAGGAACAATTGTACAAATTTTACTCTTTTACTCAACTACTGTTTAGTTTAGCTTCTCAAGATCTTCATGAATTGATTAAGGTTATACAATTTAAAGAGTTATGTAAAGAGATACAGGTGGAAATTTTGTGTTGGCCAGTATTTAAAGAATAATGATGGATAAATGGCCACTCAAAAGTCAGAGACCGAAAATAGTGAACATGGGTGTTCATCTTGCTGGGCCTTCATGTTCACAGTTTGGCTACACAGGCAAAGCTCACTCGCCACTTGTCTCATCTCCTCTCCAGATTCTGTTTGATCGGGGACCAATATTAAAGAGCAATGATTGCGTGAAGTCCAACATTCTCGTGATCAGATGGAGGAGAGAACAAAATAACCTGGTATAACAAAATAACCAGGCAATTATTTGATCATCCAACCAAAAAATATTTGTATGTATTTTCCTTATGTAAGGATTGTAATTTTAAATTATTCCACATTTCATTTTGTATTCATTAAAATGGAGAAGACAGTGCCTAAGCTCTGGATGTGGCTCATCCCACAGCACTTCTGTCCAGGAGGCTGGGTTCTCCCTGTAGCCATTGGAGAGGCAGAGCATGTGAATACGGGGCCCAATGGGAGGCAGCAAGGTTCTCCCAGGAGCTCCCTCCAGTAGGGATTCACACTGACCTTACAGAGTGGGTGGGTCTTAATAAGACGGTGGTGTTACAATGTGAAGCCTCATCACATGCTTGGCCACTCCACGATACAGCTGGTTCCCTTCCCACATCCATGCTATATTCTGAGACAGATGGCTGCGTCCTTACCAGAGGACGAGCGGATGGGCCTGCTCAATCATGAACTTGTAACCTCCAAAACTGAAACAGGTCTATTTTCTTTATAGTTTTTTCAGTTTCAAATATTTGTTACGGTAATGAGATAGAAAATGTATAGGTGAATCATTTTTTAATGTATGGCTTTAAATAGAAATGTCTTTCTTTCAAAGGATTCGACTGTGTAAAGAGTCTCATGGAATAATATAAACCTCTAAGCATAACTTCTTAACTCTCTTATAGATTACAAGATAACATGGTAAAATGTAGGCTGTCATTTAGTAGGTCTACTGTGATTCTGAAATTCTGTGTTTGTAAAATCTCACTGATGCTGATGATTATTCTGCATTCTGGACAAATTTTTTGTAGATGGGAAATAATGATACATCCAGATTTACCTGGGTTTGCTTCTGTCAAGAAAGTTGTTGTGTTTTATAAAATGATTCTTATACAATTCATGAAAATTTTTGACATTCAGATGACACTAGGACTTCCTGATTCTTTCTTGTGACCTTGAATTTCAGATTTCACTTCACGCATACACAAAAATATTCTGGAGTATTACTTATGTGATAAAATTCTGACCTGGGAAAGTATTGGCATCTGGAGAAGTCAGCAGATATGCCCTTTTCCTATATTCACCATCACTTTTGAAAGTAGATTTCCCTGAATTCATTTTCCCAACACCCTTTTTTCTGTGGAAATGCTCAAAGAAGGACATTTGAGGTTTATAGCTAGAGGAAGATAATTCCACATGATTTGCGCACACCTCCAGGGAGAGATGTGGGTGGAGAATCCCTTGTGAAGTTGTGCTATAGGCTGCTGAGAATATGAGCATTCCCATACCTGGGTTTTCCAGACACACCTGAGGTCAGGGGCAGATGTGCTCTGGCTTATGGGGCAGAATCAGAGGGTCTTACATATTTAGCATCTGCTTTTTCAATCATTATAAAATTTGGCCTATCAAAAGTTGTTTTGTACATTCTAATTACCTTTACTAAAACATTTCCAGCTTGGAATTTACATTGCATTACTTCTTGGGCTTCTGAAGTAGGATTGGAGAATCACACATTTCTAGATTATACTTTGGTGTTGCTGTTGCTGTGTCTGTAGTTTGTTTTGATTTGTTTTTGAGCCAGGGTCTCACTATGTAGCTCAGGCTGGCCTGAAAGCACTTATGTACCCAAGACCTAGCCCTGGATTTATGACAGTCGTTGTGCCTCAGCCTCCCTACTGCTGTGATGACAGGCAAGCACCACAATGTCCAAGTCATTTTTCGATTTGTGTTTTGATTTTGTCATGCTTCTGGCCACTGAAAGAAATTTAATTTTCTCTTCAATTTATTTAATTTTATATTTCTGTTTGAAACAGCTAACATTGTTTGCCTTTCAATGTTTGAATCTCAACACTTGCTCTAATCCATAATCTTAAGAGTAATGATTTGTTTCCTTTATTAAACTAGCAGAGGCACTGTCATTTCTGTCTTGCTGTAGTTGGGGAGGAGGATGCAGACATAAGGAGCAAGGACCCTGTCTGATTCCTTCTCTAAAACCTTGAATTATCTTCAAATCCTGGTTCCATTTGAGAAACACTCTTATCAGGTGGAGACACCAGGAAAAGCAGCTGTGTTTGGTCAGACTCACACTTCTGCTTCCATAGGAGGTTTATGTGATGGCCTGTACCACTGTGAGAGGGAAATTATAATCCTGCTGACAGTAGTAAGTGGCAACATCTTCAGGCTGCAGGTTGCTGATGGTGAGAGTGAAATCTGTCCCAGATCCACTGCCACTGAACCTGGAGGGGACCCCAGACCCCAAAGTGGTTGCGTATCTGATTAGGAGTTTAGGAGCTTTCCCTGGGGTCTGCTGATACCAGTGTAAATCATTGCTAATACCCTGGCAGGCTCGGCAAGTGAAGGTGACTGTGGCTCCTAAAGATCCGGACAGAGATGGAGACTGGGTCAACTGGATGTCACATCTGCCACCTGAGAGTGGAAACATAAAAACACATATTTACATAATTAATCATAATAATCCCTAAAAATTCAGATGGCGCTCACCATACAGTGCTGCCCTACCTTACCTGGGAGCCAGAGCATCAGGAGCCCCAGGAGCTGAGCGGGGGCCCTCATGTCCATGCTGTGTCCTGACTGGGGACTGACTCCTGCACAGGCTGTGAGCAGCCTATGAAGAAGTCCTCAGGGCAGTGGGCTGTGCTCTGGGCACATGCAAATCAGCAGGCCTGGCAGGGCTGGGCACAGCTGCTGTGCTGGCTCCTCTCAGTCTGTCAGCACAGGCCCAGTGACACATAGTGTCCAGGATTAGATCACACTGGTGTAGATTTGTTTGCAGTATGTTTCTCCCTTGTTCCCAGAGAAGAAAATCAGTCAGCCCTTCTTTTTAGCCCAGTGTTGTTTTGCTCTCTCATATGCTTATCACATATTCTTCAGTATCTTCCCAAAGAAGAGAGGGCCTGCTAGGTATAACAAAATCCCACAGATATCACAGTTTGTTGTGTTTTTTTTTTCAGGATTCCTGAGTGTGTAAACTGTGGTTAATGCTGAGAGCAGAAATCTTCCCCATGCTGCAATCCATCAATAATCTTGATGTTTAAGTTATCAGCACTACTCTCCAGGGATGCCATGAGGTAAAGAGGAGTAAGAAATTGCGGTTTGCATGATTTGTAATAACCACAAGTAACAATGCACTAATTAGTAGAGTCCTGAAGCAAAAGAAAAATAATGGGAAGAAGACTTTTAAAATCAGTGGCCTGTTTGACTTACTTAAATCTAATTTCTTCTTATTCTGCAGTGTATGTACCCCTGTATTACAAGACACTTTAGTCTTAGAGATGACAACCTGGGGGACTTCAGGAAATTAGTGTATGCAGTCTGCTCGGGTGCTTAATATAAGTGAGCAGGTATGCCTTAGTATGAAGAAGTAGAGCAGACAAGGGGAAGCATAGAATGAAGCAGAAAAAAGGCAGTAACTACGTGAAACTCAAAAGTACTGATAACTAGAATAGCAAGTGAAATAACAAAAATGGAGAGGACCAACACTGAATGCATAGTAGCTAAGGTGGGGAGCTGTGAACTTTTCTATTATGAGACTAAAGAAAAGAATCCTAAGGTAATGCAATGGAGATTAAGCCATCAGACAAAGAGATGCACAGGGAGGTAGAGAGATTTGAGTTCCTTGTACCAAGCTGGTATGGGAGAAATTTCAGCCATTTCCCTACAGATCTATACATTGAAGGTACTGGGCACCATCTTGAGAAGCACCCCACTGTCTGGCTGGGTGACAGAGGAGAGCAGAATCCCCTCCATTTTCTTGTATCTCCTGGATGCAGCAGCCACTTCTCACCAGTGATGCAGGAAGCACCCACTCTGTCAATTTACTGAATTTTACCACATCTGTAAAGAACTAATACAAAAATTCCTCAAACTGTTCCATGAATTACAAATAGAACAATGCTTCCAAGTTCACCCTAAAAATCCAATGACACCTTGACCAGATAGCAACTCAAAAAAAAGAAAAGAGTTGACCAAAGCCTTGACGTAAAGTTCTTCAGCAAAGTATTACAAACATAATTACACAACACATTAAAAAGTTTGTGGCACATGATCAATTTGGTTTCATTCCAGGAATACAGAGATGGTTCATCATCTGCAGATCAATAAATATAAGAAAATACATAAATAAAATCAATAATAAAAGTCACATGATTATGTCAATAGGTTTAGCAAAAGACCTTGACAAAATTCTACTCTGTTCATGATAAATGCGCTGAAGAAACTAGCATATATGATCTCACATAATTTAGCAATTTAGCCAGATGGTGTTTCAAAAAATATATCCAAAAGCTTTGGGATTTCCCTCAGTGAAACTACCCTAGATTCAATTTGCAGTATTGCAAAAAATGAAAAGTAAACTAAATAGGTGGAAAAGAGTTTTCTGTTTTAAAATATTAAATCTATTAAAATATATTCTGCTCTCTAAATGTGAGTTATTTTTGTTTGTACATGTTGTATCAGGGCAATGTTTGTCCAGTGATTTGGATAAACAACAGTACTGATGCTACATGTGAGTTTATTTCGCAAGGAAACACAAATGTTGAAGAGTATCTGCTTGTATCCTTGTCCCGTGACTCTGCCTATGCTGTGGGACAATGAGACACTGAGTAGACCTGTTAGGATTCATAACTGGATGTCCCCGAAACACCTCCTGTGGGCTTTCAGGAGTTATTGGATCATGGCTGTATGACATGTGTATTAGTGAGTGGATTAGTCCACTAACGCATGAGTTTATCACTAGACGTAATTTGGGAGGTGATACCTGGTTGGAGGAAGTGGTCACTGGGGCATGATCTGGAAGAGTCTATGTCCCTCACTCCTCCCTTTATTGTTTTCTGCTTCCTCTTTGCCATGGCATGAGCTATTTCTTCTTGCCATGCTGCCTTTCTTGGAGCCATCTGACTATGGTTCTAACCTCTAAGACCTGGCAACCACAATAAACCTCTCCTTCCTTAACTGTGGATGTCCTGTATTGTGTCTCAGAAACAACAAGGTAACTAAGATAACACCCATCACCCTATTTCTCTGAGCAACGGCAGTCCTTTGGGTGGGCACTCAGGAAGCAAGGTCTTGGGCAGCACTAGAAATATTATTTGCTTATTAACTTTCCCTATCAATAAAATGAAAGCACAATGAGGGCAGGGATCCTGATTGATTTGCTCAAAATGCCTCTGCTGAGACAGATTCATGATATTGTTATTGCAAGGGCATAATTTTATGGTGGTGTATAGGAATTAACAATTACTTCACCAGTTTGAAATTTGAAGCTTTTTCACCTATTACCGCCAGGGGGAGCAATGACACTTTACATCTATTAGAGAAAGGGCTTTGGGAGGATTCCAGTCCTTGCTTGAAAAACTGGTTGATCTAAAGATGAGGGACAAAGGTGACTCCTAAGTATGTGGTGACTCGTGGCAGTTTGTTCTGAGGGAATTATCAGTGGTCTGATTTGGATGTATTGAAGTTCATCCAAAATAAATCTAATGGGTATTTAAAATTGAAAATAAGAAAGAGATAGAAAAATTTGGAGCTTTATCCTTACTCTATCAAGTGAATGGAAGTGTATTCCATGTACAGATATCATATGGACATTTCATAATTATATATCCACAGTTTCATGTAAACTGTTATAAATCAGCTCACGTTTTTAAAATTTTATATTTATGTATTTATTTGGTTTTTGTATTTTTTGAGACAGGGTCTCACTATGTAGTTGAGACTGACCTAGAACTCACTATGTAGCCCAGTCTAGTCTAGAACTCACAGCAACCCTCTTGTGCTAGCCTCCCAAGTGCTGGGATTACAGGCGTGTGCTGCCACACCCGGCTCCATGTTTTAAAATTTTACCTCATTTATCTGATTAAAAAAATTCCACATTTGGAAATTTTGTGTGTCATAACTGAAAATTATGCTTTTTAAATTTAATAGGGCTGGGGATTTAGCTCAATGGTTCTGTGCCCTGCTTCTCAAGCTCAAGGTCCCGAGTTTGATTCCCGGTACCAAAAAAAGCAAAGTAGAAGTACATTTATTTCTGAATTTTTAGTACTATAAAACTATAGTTCCTCAAATTGGGAGTGTTTGATTTTCCCCCCTCTTTCCATGATTTGTCCTCAGAACTCACCTCACGTGCACAGTTGTTTAACCACACTTGCCCCTGCTTTGTACAGACTCCTTTGGCTCTAAGCTGGCTGATGACAAGCTCTAACTGAGGCTTCCCTGGGATGGAGTCCATTGCCTTGGAGGGAAAAGGCAGCACAATAGTGTCACAGTAACAACTCTTCCTGTACCCTCTTCTCTGGTCTCAGGTAAGACTTTAACACAAATAATATCATTTTAATACTGCAAAAGTGATTTTTAATATATTGAGTAGAAAATATTTCATCTAAATCTCTTTCTGACCTATGAATCTGTACTTATAATGGGCAGAGACACGAGGGATCTGAAGGTCAGTGTACTTGATCAAACCATGATTTAATTAAGTAGTCAGAAGTGAAAACACATGTGAGTTTATTTTTCAGTTACCCTACTCTGTACTTCCTATGGTCCATATTTGTGGATTAAGTATGGTTTAAATGGATGTGTATTGTTATAAAATTGACAAGAGGATGGAGTTTGCCATTATGGTGGGTTCTGCTAGTTTGGGTTGGGGATGCCCCATGTGTAATTGGAGGGCCCCACTTCTGGGTACATGTGGATGGACCATCAGACATGACTTTGTTGTCCCCAACCCATCCCTCTCTAGGACACTGTTTCCATGTTTTGTTTCCTGAATGCCAAGGCCTAAGCAGCTTTGCTTCACTATACTCTTCTGCCATGTTTTTACCTTTGAGAGAACCAACCATACATTGATAGTGTAGAGCCAAATTAAACCTTTCCTCCTTGAAGGTGTGTGTGTGTGTGTTTGTGTGTTGACAGGTAAACTGACTAATTCGCATATAACTTTGTAACAGTATTTGCAATAGAATCTATTTAATGCATAATGCTACAATATGATTAGTGTACGATTATATAATTCAAATTTATTTTTAGAAAATGAGGAGTACTGTGAAAGCATTACATCTTCCTTTTCTTTGAAATCCTTTTTATTGAAATATAGTACCAAGTGCATCACAGTTAGGATAAATGTTAAAAAAAATTGAATTTTTAATTTGAAAGATAATTAAATATTTAAATATTCCCAAGGTATATGTACAAAACTTCCCTTTTCTCTCTGTCAGCATATGCTGTTTATTTTCAAAGCACATTGTTGGAAGTGTTAAAACTGCAAAACCTCAGCAAATCTAATTGAAGTAAAGTAAGTTCTTAAATCTTATATCTGTTCTGAACGCACTGAAGCAAAAGCAAATACTCAAAAAATCAAACATTATTTACTAGTTACACTGAGCCATACTTTTCCAGGGAAAACTTGTGTCAATTGCTTTTTCAAATGCCCTAATGGACAGGAGAGTTTACTGTAAAGAGTAGGCAGTTAATTGGGTAGGAAAACACAATTTTTCAACATTACATAGCATAGCTTTATGCTATGTCTTAAGTTATTTTTCTTTTAGCTGACACAGTATACCCAACATCCAAAGTAAAGGAGAGAATGTTTATTTTGGTTCAGAGTTTCTAGAGGTTTCAGGTCAGAATAACTGGCTCCATGAAAAGGTGGCATGGTAGATGGCCATCACAGAGGAGAATCAATCCATGGCAAAGTAGATAGAAGACAGTCAGCAGGGAAGTAGAAATTATCAAGTGACAAGCAAGAAAGGACCACAGACTCTCTTTTTGTCTCTCATATCTTTTCCACATTACCAACCATTAGGGCATATAACACTCATATCCAGGGTGGAAACCCTTAATCCTCCACAGAACTATACCAATCTAATGAGTAAACCAATTTAGTAACCACACAGCATTGATCCCAGCATCACACACTCCACTAGCCACCAGCAAAACACCCTGCCTAAGACCTCATGAAGATTTAGAGCAACATCTAGAAACAAAACATAACATGCTATATAAAACACAGTAAAAATCGGTAATATTCAAAATATATTTAAATTCTATCATTGCTCTTCTGCAACAATTGTCTGGCTGCTGTGCAGACTAAATCAGTTTGACAAAGGACTGCCAAAAGTGATACTGAGGGTGAATTCTCAGGCCACTATCACCGTCACCATAGCTGGGTGATCACAGGGCATGTGGATAGTCACAGTCCCACTCAGGGCTGTTGTAGAGGTGCCTGAGTTGTCACCAAGGTACACATGACGCAGAGAGCAGCACACAGTTCCCCTGAGTGCCCCCAGCATCTGATGTAACACAGTCATGTATGTCACAGCTGGGCCACCTCAAGAAGGGAGGTTTGTGTTGGAGACTGGACCACTGTGGGAGGAGGACAGTGTGTCCCTTAACAGCAATAAGTTCCAACATCCTCAGCCTCCACCCTGCTGACTCTGAGTGTGAAATCTGTGACTAACCCACTCCCTCTGAACTTGTCTGGGACCCCAGGGGCACTTTTGGAAATCCTGTGAATCAGAAGTTCTGAAGCTGGCCTGCCCTTGGTAAGGACCAACTCAAATTGGTCCCTTCCTGTGCAGGAGGCCAAGACTGGATCTGCAGGTAATGGAGGCTGTTCTCCAAGAACAGGCAGGGAGAGTGGAGTCTGGGTCAACACAACATCCCCGTGGGATCCTCAAATAAGGACAGAGTAGTGCAAGTTTATGTACTAATATTGTGAGCAACTTTCATGAACCTTCTACTGTTATTTAAGTCAATATCTTAATCATACCGTGAAAAGTAAATTTTCAGCAGTACTATATGCTCTTGCATTTATAAGGCACAGCTACCTTTCTCCCTCAAGATTTTCATTACAGCATTAGTCATTGGTAGAGAGTCATTGTCCTGTCTGTGTTGCTGGAGCTGAGGGGTTGAAAGCAGAGATAAAGGTGAGGACCCTGCATGATTCCTTCCCTAGCACCTTCAAATAACCTTCAAATCCTGGCTGCATCTGAGAAACACACTTACAAAATGAAGTCGTGGGGAATAGCAGCTGTGTTAGCTCACTGTCACACCTGTCATGGTTTATGTCATGGTTTATATCACTGTAGGAGGGTTATTGTAATTATGTAGACAGTCATAAATTTCAGCACCTTCAGGCTGGGGGCTGCTGATGTTGAGAGTGAAATATTTCCCATTTCCACTGCCACTGAACCTGGAGGGGACCACAGAGGGCAACGTAGTTGAAAAACCAATTAGCAATTTAGAAGCTATCCCTGGTTTATACTGAAACAGTGTAAGCTATTACAAAAACCCTGGCTGGCTTGGCAAATGACGGTGTCTGTCTCTGAAAAATACAGACACAGATGGGGGCTGAGCAAGCTGGATGTCCACATTTTATGCCTGAGAGTGGAAACACAAAAACAAATATTTACATAATTAATCACATTGTAAAATAACTTGCTTAAAGATTCTCAGGGCTCAGATTATACAGTGTTCAGTCAATTCCCACTGCTTCGCTTCCTTACCTGGGAGCCAGAGCAGAAAGAGCTCCAGGAGCTGAGCGGGACCCCTCGTGTCCATGCTGTGTACTGATTGGAACTGACTCCTGCACAGGGTGTGAGCAGTCTTTTGAGAAAAGTCCTAAGGGCATTGGGCTGGGGTCTGGGCACATGCAAATCAGCAGGGCTGAGCAGGGCTGGGCACAGCTGAGTGGCTGGCTCCTCTCAGTCACTCGGCATAAATCCAGTGCCCCCACGTGTTCTGGATAACACCACACTGGTATATATACACCACACTGGTATATATTTTTTGGTAGTGTGTTTTCTCCCTTTTGACCAGAGGACAAAATCAATTAGCTTTTCCTTGGAGTCCAGTGCTTTGTTCTCTTAGATGCTCATCACATTTTTTGTTAACTTTCTGTATGAAGCAGGGCTTGCTAGCTATATATAGATCAATCCTACAGACTTTTTTATTTTATTATTTTATTTCATTTTTTTGGTACTGGGGATCGAACTCAGGTCCTTGCACTTGCAGGCAGGCTGCAGAACCACTGAGCTAAATCCCTGGGCCCCTACAGACTTTTTGATTGTTTGTCTTGTTGTTTTTCATTGCCTGAGTTTGGAATCTGTAGTTAATATTGAGAATGCAAGTCTTCCCTGTGCTATGACACCCTCATAATATTGGTACAGTAAGTTATGGTCACTACTCTCCAAGAATGTTATGAGGAAAAGAGGAACAAGAAATTACACTTTCTGTGATCTGTAATCAGCAGAACCCTCAAATTATACTTCATTAGAAGTAGAGTAGATTCCTACCTTAATCATGGATGAGACTACAGTGAGGGTACAGCTCCAGGACCTGAGCCTCACCACACAGCAAGCTGGGAAGAGATTCAAGCTGAAGGCTGCAACAGTATGCAGGGACTGCACTGTCCTGCTGCCCACTGCGTCACCTGAACTCTGAGTGAGAGGCTGATCCCTCATCTGCCATAGGACTTTGAGGATTCAGGAGATGTCCTTGTTCTTGCTGAGCTGGATGCACAGATGAAAAGAAAGATACTTTTAAAAACTACAAATTGTGGCAGGAATATGGAAAATGCTTCTGCATTTCTGGTGGCAAAAATACATTACTGAAGACATGAGGGAAAGCAGGATAGAGATTCCTCAAATACTAAGAATAGAACCACTATAGGATCCACATATCCCACTCCTGGGTATATTCCAGAGGAAATGAAGTCAGCAGGCAGAACTGTTAGCTGTGTACACTACATATCCTTATTGCAGCATTATTCATGACAGCTAAGGCAAGCAATCAGCCTAGGTGCGCATTAACAGATGAGCCATAAACTATGGCATATGCACAAAAGGTTATTATGTATTCACAAATCAAAACAAAGTTGTCATTTAAGGAAAATGTACAGAAATGGAGAAAACCATGTTAAATGAAATAAGCCAGACGAAGAGAAGCGAATACCTTTTGCTTTTTTTGGCTTTGTACTGGGGATTGAACTAAAGACCTTGCACTTTGTAGGCTGGTGCAGTGCCATTTAGATAAATCCCGAGAGAGCAAGCACCTCATGTTGACTTTCATTGCTGGAAAAAATATCTGACAACGACAAGTTAAAGGAGGAAATGTTTCTTTTAGCTTGCAGTTTTTTGAGACTTTAGAGTATAGTTGGCTGGCTCCAATTCAGGACAAAATGGCAGAGGGGCATGGCATAGGAAAAACAGCTCATGGCAAGACAGGCAGGAAGCAGCTATCTTCCTTTTTGTCCTTTTTTGTTCCATTCAAGCTATAATCTCATTGGCTGGTTCCACTCTTATGCAGGGTGGGTCTTCGCTCTTCAACAAATCCATCACCTATGCACAAAACTATGGTAAACCAATCAGTAGACTAATCCCGTATCATGTACCCATGATCCAGTCACTCCCAAAAGTCCCACCTATGAGAACATGAGGCTTTGACTGATATCTGGATATAAACCATAGCATACATGGAAGCTAAAAGAGCAAATTCTGTTCTGTATATAGTGGAGGGATGAATAGGGACTAAGAGCAGTGTGAGAAAAAAGAGAAGGAGAGAAAGAGAGAGAGAGAGAGAGAGAGAGAGAAAGAGAGAGAGAGAAGAGAGAAAGGGAGAGAGAGGGAGAGAGAGAGAGGAGAAAAGCAGGGAGAGGATTAACAATGGATAAATGAACATGAAGAACTCATGTTGTATACACACATGGAAACATAGTAACTCTCATTAATTTATTCAATTCATATGTGTTTACAATAATTAAGACAGCGGCCATGTGAGCCTTCAGTCAGTTGCTGATTATTTTATGTTTGCACGCACCTCATTGGACAAGCTGAGAAGAGTAACTGACTAAAGTGTGTGTATTGGATAATGTTAACAACTGAGATGTGCATGCCGATCTATGACATTTACATGAGAAGTTTAATAGGAAATTTATAATTTTCAAGTTTGGCTCAATTTCAATGGCCCAACCACACCTTTTCAAATATTTTCTTCTCTCCAGGTCTTCATATGCGTTTCTCCAAAGGTCTAATAAACCTGAACAATCTTGAACTTTTAACCTCCAAAATTGCATGAAATGTATCTATTTTCTTTATAATATACTCAGTTTCAAATATTTAGTTACAGTAACAAAAACAAAAAATGTACAGGTGAATTGCTTGTTAATGTGTGTCTTAAGTAGAGCTGTCCTTCGAAAGACTCATTGACTGTAAAGAGATTCTAAGAAACTGAAATAAACTTCTAAATATACCTTCTTAATCCTTATACAGATTATATTTTGATATACTAAAATGCAGGTTGTCATTCAGTAGGTCTAATGTGATTCTGAAATTTTGCATTTGTAAAATCTCACTGATGTGTGGCTGATGATTTTGGATTAAGGATAAATTTTTTGTAGATGGAAAATAATGCTACATTCACATTTAGTTGGGCTTGATTTGTCCAAGAAAGTTGTTGTATTTTATAATATGATTCTTATACAATTCGTGAATATTTGTGACTTTGACTTGACACTGGGACTTCATGATTTGTTCTTATCGTGACCTCAGCTTTCTGATTTCACTTCATAGGCCATTGGGTCTATTACATACCTGATAAACTTTTGAGCTGGGGGAAGTACTGGCATTCAAAGAGGTCAGCAGATGTGCCACACACTATAATCACCATCACTTCTAGAGACAGATTTCCCTGAACTGATTTACCCACTCATTTTTCCATGGAAATGCCCAAAGAAGGGCCTTTGAAACTTAGAGGAGAATGATTCAACTTGATCTGTGTACACCTCCAGGGAGAGAAGTGGGGGAGAATTCCCTGTGATTTTGTGCTGTAGGCTGCTGAGAACACCAGAGTTTCCATACCTGGGTTTCCAGACACATGTGAGACCCCATGGTCAAGTGGACCATGACATCAGGGGCAGATGTGCTCTGGCTTCTGGGACAGCATCAGAGGATCTAGCATTTGGTTTCTCAGTCATAATAAAATTTGACCTTTCAAAAGTTGTAATATACATTCTAATTATTTTACTAAAACAATTCTTGCTTAGAATTTATGTTGCAGGTCTTCTTTGGCTACTGAAGTAGGATCAGAGAATCACATGTACTTTTAACATGTACTTTTATTGTTGCTGTTGCTGCATTTGTGGTTTCTTTTGCTTTCTTTTTGAGAGAGGATCTCATTATGTAGCTCTGGCTGGCCTTAAATCCTTATATAGCCCAGGTTTAGCTTTGGGTTTGTGACAATCATCTTGCCTCAGCCTCCTGACTGCTATGATTACAGATAGGCACCACAATGCCCAGCTCATAAAGTATCTTGTGCTTTATTTTTTGTAGATCTATTTCACTTCCATATGTATGAGATTTATATTTCTGTTTGAAATGGCTACTGTTGCTTTCCTTTTGCTAAATGAATCTTAATACTTGCTTTAATTCATACTCTTAAAGTATAATGGTTGTGTCCTTTATTAAATTAGGGAAAGCATGGTCATATCTGAACTGGTGGAATTGGAGAGGAGGAAACAGAGGTAAGGAGCAAGGACCCAGCCTGAAGCCTTCTCTAACACCATCAAATAACCTTCAAATCCTGGCTGCATCTGAGAAATGCTCTTATCAGGTGGAGGCACCAGAAAGAGCAGCTGTTTTTAGCTCAGCCTCACACTTCTGCTTCCCTGGGAGGTTTATGTCATTGCCTGTACCACCGTGGGAGGGTAATTATTACTCTGCTGACAAAAATAAGTGGCAACATCTTCAGGCTGCAGGTTGCTGATGGTGAGAGTGAAATCTGTCCCAGATCCACTGCCACTGAACCTGGAGGGGACCCCAGACTCCAAAGTGGTTGCGTATCTGATTAGGAGTTTAGGAGCTTTCCCTGGGGTCTGCTGATACCAGTGTAAATTATTGCTAATACCCTGGCTGGCTCGGCAAGTGATGGTGACTGTGGCTCCTAAAGATCCAGACAGAGATGAAGACTGGGTCAACTGGATGTCACATCTGCCACCTGACAGGGAAAAAGTTTACATAATTAATCACATTATAAAATAACTTCACTAAAGAATTAGGTGGCTGTGATCATTCAGTGCTGAGCAAAAATTCCCAGGGCTGCCATCCTTACCTGGGAACCAGAGCAGCAGGAGCCCCAGGAGCTGAGCGGGGGCCCTCATGTCCATGCTGTGTCCTGACTGGGGACTGACTCCCGCTCAGGGTGTGAGCAGCCTATGAAGAAGTCCTCAGGGTAGTGGGATGTGTTCTGGGCACATGCAAATCATCAGGGCTGGACCGGGCTGGGCACAGCTGCAGAGCTGTCTCAGCTCAGTAACTTAGCACAGGCCCAAGGACCCAAGTGTCCAGGATTAATCTAGACTGGTATAGATTTGTTTGCAGGGTGTATTTTTTCCCCTTGTGACCAGAGGACAAAATCATTCAGCTTTTCTTTGTGTATAATTTTGTTTTGCTCTTTTAGATGCTCATCACATCTTCTTATGTCATCTTTCCATATAAAACAGAGCCTGCTATATATACAACAATCCCACAAATTGTGGGTGTTTTTATTTTTTTATTTAAAAAAAAATTTTTTTTTAGGTTCCCTGAGTTTGGAACCTGTAGTTAATACTGAGAGTAGAAGTCTTCTCTATGTTGATTCTGTGATAATCTTTGTAGAGTAAGTTATCAGAAATACTTATCAGGGATGTAACGAGACAGAGCGGGACTAAGAAATTAGTTTCCATGATGTGTAATCATCTGAAGCTTAAAGTTATAGTGCATTAAAAAGTAGCATACTGAAAGAAAAAAATTAACAGAAGAAGACTTTAAAAATCCAATGGGTCATTTGAATTAATAAAGTCTAATTTCTGCTTACCTCTGCCTTTATCTCTCCCCATATGATAAGACATTTTACACTCAGAGAAATCAGTGTGGGGGACTGTAGGAAACCAGTTTATACAAACTGCTCCAAATACTTTATATAAATCAGCAGGTATGGGGCAGTGTGGTGGAAAGCACACATGGGCAGATAGGGAATGAAGCAGAAACAAGTCACTAACCACATGAAAGCCCAGAAATATTGATGCTGAGAATAACAAGTGAAAAAAAAATAGAATGGACTAACTCTGAATGAATGATAGCTCATTGGAGGTGGCGAACTGTCCTAACGGCTAAAAAACAGAATCATTATATAGTCCGAGACAGCAGACTAAGCTACCAGACAAATAGGCAGTCAGGGAGAAAGGGAGATCTAAGATCTGTATACCAAGCTAGTATGGGAGAAATCCCATACATTTCCCTACAGATCCATACATTGCAGGTAGTGGGCATCATCTTGAGAAGCACCCCACTGTCTGGGTGGGAAGCACAGGAGAACAGAATCACCTGCATATTTTGTATCTCCTGGATGCAGCAGCCACTTAACAGTGATGCAGAAAGCACCCGTTCTGACATGCAGTTTACTGACTTTTACCACGTCCTTAAAGAACTAACACAAATGTTCCTTGAACTGGTCCATGAAAGAGGAGTACAAGGAATGCCTCCCCATTCATCCTATATAGCCAGTGTCACCTTGATAGAAATTCAGCAAAAAGCGAAACAGTGGATCATATCCTTGATGTAAAGTTCTGCTGTAACTTCTTACAAACATAATTAAATAAGATGTTAAAAAGTTATAGGACATGGTCAATTTGGTCTCATACCAGGAGTACAGAGATGGTTCGTCATATGTAAATCAACCAGTATAAACAGAAGCATAAATAGAATCAAGAATAAAAGTCATATGATTATGTCATTTAACAAAATTATGTTAATCTGTTCAGGATAAGTGCCCTGAACAAAACGATATGGAAGGATCTCTCCTGGTCAGTTTTAGGTACTTAGCCAGATGGTGTCTCAAAATAAATATCAAAAAGATTTGGGATTTACCTTAGTGTGTAAGTACCTGCTTCAATCTGCAGTATTGCAAAAAGTAAAAACAAAATGAAATAAGTGGAGAAGTGCTTTCTCTTCTAAAGTATTAGTTTATTAAAAGATATGATTTTGCCTATATGTGGGTCCCTTCTTTTTGTGTGGACTGTGTCGGAGCAGTGATTCTTGTCACTGGCCTCTGTGTTACTAGTGATAGATTAGAAGGCTGATGTCCTTGCCTAAACTACGACTTGGATAGTGATACTTCATGTGAGATGTTTCCTTGAAGTTTCCATGAGAGTTGAAGTATATCTGCTTGTTCCTTGTTCTGTGACTCTATCCATGCTGTGGGACAAGGAGAAACTGAGTGGACCTGTTGTGATTCATATCTGGATGGCCCCCAAATCCTTCCTGTGCCTGGATCATGGGAGTGTGGTAGTCGTCAGTGGATTAGTCCACTACTGCATGAGTTTATCTCTAAATGTGATTTTGTAGGCAAAGACTGGTTGGAGGAGGTGGACTTCCTGTGCCTGGATCATGGGAGTGTGGTAGTCGTCAGTGGATTAGTCCACTACTGCATGAGTTATCGCTAAATGTGATTTTGTAGGCAAAGACTGGTTGGAGGAGGTGGTCTCTGGGATGTGATCTGGAAGGGTGTATGCTCCACTCTTATCCCTTGATTGCTCCCTGCTTTCTGCCTACATGCCATGCTGTGAGTTGTTTCTCCTCTGCCATACTCCCCTTCTTTGGAGAAAACTGACTATGGGCTGAAATCTCTACAACCTGTGAGCTAAATTAAACCTCTCATTCCTTAAGCTGTGGGTGTTCAGTATAATGTCTCAGAGATTAAAAAGTGAATAATATAAATCCCATTGCCCCATTTCCCTGAATAATGGCATTACTTTGAGGGTGGGTACTTAAAGGAACCAGGGTTTTATGCAGCAGTGGAAATATTTATTAAATTCTCTCTCAATAAAATAAAAAGTCAAGAGGGAAGGGGTTCTGGTTGATTTGCTCAAAATGCCTATGCTGAGGAATGTTCATGATACTGTTAGTGCAACTGCATAATTTTATTATTTTTTATTTTTTTAAAATTTTTTCAGCTTTAATTGAGTTTATTGGTACATTTTAGGGATGCAGTACAGTTACATTCATTGTTTTGGATCTTGTACCTCTACATGACAGGTCTTGGTTCTCATTTTTTCCCCTTGTCCCTGCCCTCCCTTTACCCCCTCCTCCCCTCCCCATCTACAAACACTTTATTTCCATCTTTTCATTATCTCACTTTTTTTCTTGTACCCTTATTAACCTTCCCCTACCCATCCCACCTTCCCTAAACCTTTAGCCCCTTTCTTCCCTTCACAATGT